GTCGAAATGCTACCACAAGTCTGCCCGAGGCCTCACGGGGCTTTATTTGAAGTCCTCTGGTTTCTGTTCTCCTGTTAGTGTTGCATTTGTATTCCAGAGCCTTCTTTTTCAGCTGGGTTTGCAAGCTTCCACAGAGCTGAGTTTTAGCTGGACTGGTCGTTTCCACTATGAAGGCAGCACAGTCATTGTCAGATCTCACCTTCTCTTTGTACTGAGAAGCCCGGAAACTCCAGCCTCTCCGGGGGGCTATGACAGGGGCTCATCTCAAAGCTTTGAACCCCACCAAGAACATGGAAGCCAATATCTTTTAAAGGGCCGTAAGGAAGTCCTAAAATTTTTTTATTAAACACCAGGAATGAGGAATCCCTGCCATAAATTCAAGATCGGCACCAAGCAAAGCGTTGGCAGCACTCACTGTAAGGGGGCACATTTGTGCAGCCTTCTCTGCTGCCCTTGGTTAAGCAAGCGGAAGGAAGGAAAGTGGGAAGGAAGGGAAAAAAAGAGAGAGAGAGAGGAGGAGTTGAAACGTAGCAGTCACGAGAGAACATCAGGTAACAGATGAAACAATAATTGGGAAAACACGTAGTGGGTTCAGGAGAATATTCGTCACCTTTAAGAAAGTTCAAATCCATGTTGGTAACCATACTTCCTTTCCTTTTATATTTGATACAAAATATTAAACACTGCCATAGTCCTGCTACACTCAGATTCAAGAAGAGACTGGGTTCCTCATAGCACTGAATAAGACAACATTTAACAATCTAAATACTTACGCCTTGGGTTCCCAACCCAAGTGACCCCCAGCTGATGGAGGCAACTTCTTGGCGACAGTTTGTGGGTCTGCCTCTTCCTGTTTTGTGTCCCAGTATAAGGTGATTTCAAACACCTTGCACAAAATATATGGGGCTGGCATTGTGATGCAGTAGGTTAAGCTGGCACGCGAGGTAGGAGCATCCTGTATTGGGGCACCAGTTGCAGTGCCTACTCCTCCCTTTCTGGTCCAGCTCCCTGCTGGTGTGCCTGGGAAAGCAGCAGAGACAGTGGAAGGACTCGGGCTTAGGCCACCTCTGTGGGAGAGCTGGCTGGAGATCCAGGGTCCTGACTTTGATCTGGCCCTGTCAAGATCCAAGATCTCTCTTGTGTCTGACCCTCCCTCTCTCTATCGCTCTGCCCTTAAAATAAATAAAAGTAAATCTGTTTTCAAAAGATCGCGCTGGGGCCAGCACTGTGGGATCCTAAATTAAGCCTCTGTGTGTGGCACAAGATCAAATAGGGATGTTGGTTCATGTCCCAGATGCTCCATGTCTGAGCCAGCTCCCTGCTTATGAGCTGGAAAAGCAGCAGAAGATGGCTCAAGTCCTCGGGCCCCTGCACCCATGTGGGTTACCTGGAGGAAGTTCCTGCCTTCCAGTCCTCGGTTTCAAAACTTTTCAGCTCGGGCCATTGTGGCCATTTGGGGAGTGCCCAGCAGATGGAAGATTTCTCCTTCGCTCAATAAATCTGACTTCTCTAAATAAATAAATAAATAAATAAATAAATAAATAAATAAATAAATTTAAACATTTGTGCAAGAGTAGAATTAAAAGATAAGTTGATTTTGTGCAAAAATTATAGAAATCCACATATTTTAATAGTACTTCCTGTAAACTTGAAAATAGAATAGTTTTCTATATATGAAACATAAATTACCATAGTAATACAAAAAGTTCTCGTCATATGCCTCTTATCCCATTTCCCCCATTAACATCCCATATAAGTATTTGTCACAATTAATGAGCCACATCTAGCTTCCTCTGTTGTTTTAACACTAAGTTTTTGAAGACCGCACATATATACCAAAATATGATCTTTCCCTCAGTCATGTGTAAGCACATCTCATTTCTCATGTATTCATGGATTGGTAAGGACAAGGAGCTTGCCTTTAATGTAGAATCCCAATAACAGACACTCGTCAACTGTTTCCTGGATGGGTAAAGTGGTACAATCTTGGGGCTCCCCATAAAACTCTTTCCCCAGAGACTCCTCTACCTGGAACTCTTGTATCAGGAAACACAGAAAGGTTTTTTCCAGTGGAGACACCGCTGGAAAAGTCAGTCTTCCCATTTGCAGCAGCCCTTTCCGAGGATGGCCTCCATGACTCCTGCTAATGTAACCTGTGTGCTCATTACCTGCCTCCTACAGAGACATTCCACGGCCGATGCAAGCTCATCTGGCATGGACGGCCATCAAGTACGATGCTTGGCATGCAGCAGGAATTCTGACGTTGTCCTGTTCATGACGTTAGCTGTGAACTCGTGACAACTACAGCAGGAAGACAAAGATCAGGAAAAAGAAATAAGAATCAGGCCTTTCTCGAAACACAACGCCTGACTTTGCTCCCCTAACTCAACATGACGGATCCTACCTAAACTCATGGAATGCTAAGCCACAAAGGACATACAATAAATGATTAGGGATCAAAACTCCATGGACCTGAAGTATCCAACCATCAATGCTTCCCTCTTGCTGACTGAATTGTTCCACTATGCTTTTGTTTTGCTCTCAAACAATGGTTTAATTTTTAAAACACGGTCATGGAGAGCAGGTCATTACATGTATTAACCAGGTGCCATCTCTTTCAGCACACTGGAAGCCTCCACATATTGAGGCTTATTATTAAGCCTATTTATTATTACAAATAGTCTGTAAGCAATACTAGGGTACCCCCAATCATCAGTGTGACCCTACAATATCTGTTCCTATAGGACTTTTAAGTCCACTGACTGGCACAACCATAGCAGCCCAGGGGGAACCGAGTGCATCAACGAATGTCATGTTCATTTTTTTACTTGTTTCTGACATCAGCTTTTTAAAAAGCGTATAGAAAAAATATATATATATGCCTCTGCTTCAATTCCAAATTTCAAACTTGTTTCAAAAATCTCTAGAGAAGTAGCCCAATCTACATCATTGTCCATAAGAAAACCCAGAAAAGTCAGTTGGATTTAACCTACCGTAGGCATTCATGTGCGAGTTATCAATCAAGCGGGGGGAAAGTTGTCAAAATGGATGGAATGTGGGCAGGAGGGACACCATGGATTAGGAGTGCTCTTCTACAGCTGTTCAGATGATGTCCTCATGGGACTGCTGATACCTGAGGAGGTAGAACAGAACATCACAGAGTTTTTTTAATTGCCCCTCTTCTATCAACCGGAGGGTTGTATTACTTCAAGACTAGCACTGGCTATCCTCTGTGGTGGTTCCGGCCATACGGAGTCATTTTTATAGCTTGAAGGGTGGACGAGCACAAACACATATCTCCCAACCTTGCTCTGCTTAACAGGAATTCTCCTGGGATCTGTTCCTTGTCCTAATTTACAGAAGAGCTGTCCATTCGCTGACACATCACCAATATATTTTCACAAGAATAATGTCTCTTTCTTGACATTTACTACTGTCCTTGTATTATTACTGTATCTTCCAGTGTTGCTATAATGATGATAAAGAACATTTGAATAGTATCCTGCACCACTGTCTCATCAGTATTCCTGCTCCTGGCTCCCCTAACCATTCTGCCGAATGAAAGCATAGGCGGTCACCTAGCAGGCAGCCCGATCCAGGGCACTAGGCTGCACGGCGTTAGTTGAATACACAGATTCACGACTTGGGGTGTGTGTGTGTGTGTTTTACAAAAACTTAAATAGCATCGGGTTCACTCTGGTTCAATTGCAGTCTTCCTTCGCCTGGAAGTGGTGGTGTCTTATCTCCCTCCGTCTGGAGGTGGGTTAGTCTTGGGCTCAAGCCGTGCAGTGGGAGTGAGTAATGAGGAAGTGAGGTGCTGACCCCCCAAGGGGTTCTTATCCCCTTGGGTCAGCCCACCGCTGAGAGGCGAGCCGGGAACCCTGGCTGCCCCAGCACCCTGGACCCTGTCCGCTGTGGCCGGGGCCACTTTGATCTCCCGCGTCTTTGCTCATCAAGTTCATCCCAGATTCCCAGATTCCCAGATTAAATAGTTATCACATGGTCATTTCCCTCTCCCCCACCACACCACTCCTGATCTAATTTCCAAACTCCAGTCTCTCGCCTCCCTGTCTAAACTTTCCATCAAAAGAGAATTAGTTCTTCTTCCTTCTTTACTCTCGTTTGATGTGCAAATTCCCTTCTCTTGACACATTTTTCTTGCTGTGGCCGGACAAGGACAGCCGGTGTGTGTGTGTGTGTGTGTGTGTGTGTGTGTGTGTGTGTGTGTGTGTGTGTGTGTGTGTGTGAGAGAGAGAGAGAGAGAGAGAGAGAGAGAGAGAGAGAGAGAGACGAGGGAGCCGGAGGACAGGGGGTGTTGCACTTGAACAAACTTAAAATCCCGAAACTCAAATCTACAAAAGCGGTTGGTTCAATGTACACACTCCCAGCGGCCACCTGGTAGACCTCTGGCAGAGACGATTCGCTGGAGCCTTTGCGTTTAGCACTGAGCAGACCGGCGTGCGGGATAAGCTGAGGTTCCGCAGCCAGTGCCAAGGCCCCGGGCTGCAGCGTGTATCAGGTCAGGACCGACCCGGCGCACGAGCAGCCCCGGGCGCAGAGGGTCTCCCGCCTCTGGCTCCAACGCTCTCCGCGTACCCAGTGCACCCAGGGAGAGCTGCAGCCGGGTAGAGGAGGTGCGGGGGCGGGGGGGGGGGCGCGCAGCAAGGCTGGGGCGGGGTGAAGAGTGTCAACGGCTCCACTTCTTGTACACAAACACACCTCCTTCCAGCCCCTCCCAGCGCTTTGAAATCCCATCCCGGCTTTGTTGTCTTGCCCCCGAGGGGCCGGAATGCTCCGGGCCGGCGGTATAAAGGCAGCCGCGGTGGCGGCGGCGGCTCAGTGCTGCATGCGCCAGGCAGTCTGGACGCTGGGATCGCCTCGGGCTCCCGGGATCCCGACCCTGCAACCCGGCCAGCACGGTTTCGGTAGCGAACAGGCTTGCAAAGCGGACCTTGCTCCCCCTCTGTTTCTCCTTCTTGCTCCCACCGAGTCCTTCCGAGATGACGGCTCTGGGCGCCGCGGGAGCCACTCGGGTCTTGGTCGTCCTGGTAGCGGCGGCTCTCAGCAGCCACCCACTGCTCGGAGTCAGAGCCACCTTGAACTCGGTTCTGGTCAACTCCAACGCCATCAAGAATCTGCCCCCGCCACTGAGCGGCGCTGCCGGGCACCCGGGCTCCGCCGTCAGCGCGGCGCCGGGGATCCTGTACGAGGGCGCAAACAAGTACCTGACCCTTGACAACTACCAGGTGAGCAGGGGGCGAGGGAGTCTCGAGGGGTGTGTGTGATGCAGGGTGCCTGGGGACACGCTGCGTCCCGGGAGAGGCGCGCGCTGCAGCAGGCTTTGGAGAGGTTGGTTGGCTCAGACACGGGGACGCGCGTTCGGGTCCCAGGTGGGTGCGCGGGCTCCTCACTGTCTCCCCGCCCGCTTCCCGCAGCCGTACCCGTGCGCAGAGGACGAGGAGTGCGGCACCGAGGAGTACTGCGCCAGTCCCAGCCGTGGAGGCGGCGCCGGCGTGCAAATCTGTCTCGCCTGCCGGAAGCGCCGCAAACGCTGCATGCGCCACGCGATGTGCTGCCCCGGGAATTACTGCAAGAACGGTGAGTCCCGCAGCGACTCCTTCTCGGCCTGCAGCCGGCCGGCCAAGAGAACCGTTTTCCCGCGGCGCTGCGGCGACACCTGCCACCCCTGCAGAGTTCTCTTGAAACCGCTGCTTTAAGGAGCAGCGAGAAGGCTGGAGGCCCCCCGGCGTCTCCCGTGCACCTCAGTCACTGGACGCGTTGGCTGGCCTCCGAGTCGGCAGTGTCTAAAGGAGAGCTTTAGGGGCCAGGTGGGACGGAAGCTTAACAAGGACAGTGGAGTCCCAAAGACAGATCGACCCAGGGGACGCACTGCCTGGAGCTATCTTGGTTCCTTTTTTTCTGAGAGTGACTCTCTGCAGCTTTGGTCGCCAGCCAAAAAACCGGATGTCTAATCTGCGCTGGCCATTTGTAAGGCAGATCTTGATACCTTTTGCCCACATCATTCCTTCCACGTTCGCGACCTTGACATACGTGCTCCGCTTCCCCACTCCATACCCCCATCTACCAAACGTTTAAAATCTCAGCGAGCTAGACCTAGTATCTCCCAGAGGTCTCTAGACTTAACTCGGGGTGGTGACCCTACGTAGGACCCGGCGGTAATATAGGTTTTTACGCAGTGAAGTCCCTGGTGGGACTTGCGTCTTACAGGCCAGCTGACATTGCCATTGCTAAGTTAGTCTGGCAGGACCCAGAGCGCACCAGGTTCTAGCAGACATTTTTAAGCGACAATTTTATTAGCCCAAAGGTAATGTTAAAATGGGTAGAAATCTAACCTGTCCCACCCCAGCTTGTGAAAAAGTATGTAAAATGGGACTGTTACATGGGGGGTCTACAGTGCAAGTGTTGGTACTTCAGTCCGTGGGCCAGGTTTGTTTTTTTGTTTTTGTTTTTGTTTTTTTTGTATGAACACCAGGAGGAAAATTTGGATTGTGATTAAAATAAGATCACTGTAGTTGCAAGTTAATGCCATTATAACAGACTGTCTGAAGCATTACCACCTGTAAGTTAATCAGTGTTACTTACCCTCTCAGGAATATGCATGCCTACTGACCATCATCATTTTCAACGAGGGGAAATTGAGGAAACTGTCATTGAAAGTTTTGGTAATGATCACAGCACCTTGGATGGGTACCCCCGAAGGACCACACTGTCCTCAAAAATGTATCACGCAAAAGGTAAGTTCAAAGACTCACTCTCGGTCAGCACATGCAAGTTGCTTTCTGATATTATCTGTCTGAAGTGATGATGGCTTAGCAGTTGACATGTTCCTTTGCTATTGTTTCCTGTGCACCAGGGCAGGAAGGTTCTGTCTGTCTCCGCTCTTCAGACTGCGCCACAGGCTTGTGTTGCGCCAGGCACTTCTGGTCCAAGATCTGTAAGCCGGTCCTCAAAGAAGGCCAGGTGTGCACGAAGCACAGGCGGAAAGGCTCGCATGGGCTCGAGATATTCCAGCGCTGTTACTGCGGAGAAGGACTGTCCTGCCGGATGCAGAGCGATCACCATCAAGCCAGTAATTCTTCGCGGCTTCACACCTGTCAGAGACACTAAAGCAGCTGTGGCCATGCTGGGGACTTTTTTTTTAATATATATAATATATACTATGAAAACCTTCTATGACGTTTGTCAGCTCAATCCTAAGGATATACAGATTCTGTGATTACCGTTGAGCATTCCAATAATACCTTCTGAAAATCTGGAGTGTAGGAGCTTTGTTTCTTTACGGAACTCCCCTGTGATTGCAGTAAATTACTGTGTTGTAAATTCTGCATGTGGCACTTACCTGTAAATGAAAGGAAACTTAATTATTTTTCTAAAGGTGCTACATTGTCAGTTGTTCCTCTTCTTGTGTAAATTTTTTGTAACATTGTTATCTTGACTCTGATAAATATTCTATATTGAATTGAAATAAATAATTTCAGTTTGTAGTTCCACTTCCTGAATGTACAACCCTTTTGCCTTTTGATTATAGAGTTTAGAATGCAAGGAGCTCTTGGTAGAACTGCTAGGTGCCTAAAGTTTATCATGAAATTGCTAGCTTGTTTTCCTGAAATGTACTATATTCATGCTTAGATTTTATTTCTTTCTAAGCTGTGAGAGTTTTGAAATAAAATTTAACATTTATATACTGGAATGTTATAAGCATAGATAATTGTTGGGATTGTGGTCATAGATGGGTGTGTGTGTGTGTGTGTGTCATATTGAAAACCGATCAGAGCAAAGATTGTGGAAAGGTAAGACAATATCAATCAAATCTAGTATAACTTTCAAGAAAATATAGTCTTCACTGATACGTTCTAATGATGATGGTAGGATGAAATTGAATCTTACATTTAATAGTTTTCAAAAGTAGTCCCCAGTAAATTACTGTCTACATAAATGATCAATATTTAGTGGATAAGAAAAGAAGTTGCTCATGAAATATCAAAATAGTTGGTTGATATGCAGGAAAAGAATGTGTGGAAATACAGTTAAGAAACATACGCAAAATAAATTCTCCCAAAGTATCTTAAGTACTATTACATTAAAGAAAACCTGGTTCTAATGACTTTGTTTTAAAACTAATTATTAGATAAAAATACAATAAACACTCCCTCATTCCAATGTCTTCTTCTCTTGCTAGATAAATTGAATGTTTCGATTTTTGCTTAGCCTGGAACACAATGATTGGAATGAGGATTAGAATATAGTACTTAAAAGAAAACCCACAGAAATTAAATCTAAACTGCATGCATATTTTTACTTGCCAAATTTAATACTGTTTACAGTAGGGAAAAAGTTCTGAATTTATTCTCATTACATACTAATCTAAATGTCTGCACCCAAACCACAAATCTCTGGATTTAAGGCATTCAACGGATCGTCGTGGCTGAACAATTGTCAAAAAAATTTTGTTAAATAACACAAATGTCCCAGAATGTTGTTTTTGGGTTTCCAGAAGTGGTTCAATTTCAAGGGGCTCAGCTGAAAGGAGACAAATGTTGGTTCTTCCCCGAGCGAGGGGACTGACAGGATGTCTGCTGTTAAGTTCCTTTTGTCTAGAAGTCTCAGCTTCCTCAGCCAGGAGAAACTTTCTCTACATGTGCTTGTTTTCCGAAGTGCCAGGAAGACTGATTCTAAGGCCTTCCATCTCCAGTAAAGGACAATGCAGGAGAGGAAACAGGAAACCCTTTCATGGAATAGAAGGAACAGGGCCTTCTGTTGCAGAGGGGAAAGAAGCAAGCGTTCAAAAGGACCTGGTGATTGGATCCCTTCCTTTCCATAGGAACTGACCAGGGTCAGGGGCTGTCCACCCTCCTCACATCTCATTCTTGGAAAGACACTTAGTTTCTATCCAACAGAGCTGTTAGGAAGGGATTTCCATGACATTAAAAAAAAAAATTCTGCATATCCATCAAGTTGGAAAAGAATAATAGGTCAGGTAGTAGCAGGGGCTGGCAGACCATGGAAGTCAGATACAATGCAAGTACCAAAGAGGATCTTTGCAGAAATCCAGATTATTTTAGACAGTGGCTGATTAAAATTCATGGTAACTTTTGAACTATTTCAATGGAAAATACAAAACTATGGGAAAATTTTGTGTATGTGTTTTAAATCAAATTTTGCATACTTTACACACTGCCCTGTACTTTGCTCTTTTTGCATATCGAATCTTCAAAAGATATTTATTAAAATTCATAGATAGAGAGAGGTGATTCATTCCTTTGAATGCTTGCCTTACATCTGTAGCGTCTTGAAATGACTATGCCATTACTTAGCCAGTCAACACTGACAAACATTTTAAGTTGCCTTAGAGTTTTTTTTTTTTTTATCTAATCATGCCTGTAGAGTTTTTTTTTGTGTGTGTGTTTGTAGATAAAGTAGTAGGAGAGTGGCTGACGTTAGGGGCAAAACTTAACAGCATGCTTTCTTAAACTGCTCATGAAGATGCGTCATTGGTTAACAGACACGGTGCCTTTTTATCATTTATCTAGTGATTAATCGCTTACAAAATTGTCTTCAAGGAGAAAGACGGAAATGCTGTGTTATCATGACAATTTCACAGCTAACTCTAATCTATGGCATTCCACTGAGGGTACTTTGATTTTTTAAAATGTTAAATAAAATCACAAGCTTTTTCCTTATCCCCTTTGGATGTTTTTCTGGGACAGTTGGATGAGTCAAGCTTTATTTTATCTATTGATAGGAATGGAAGCTGGGGACAAGTTTAAAAGAAAAACATAAATATACAATTGAACTTTGATTCTTAATATTTCAGTAAATATTTTCAGGATATTTTTCACCATAGTATATCATGTTGTACTAATTCATTCAGGGAATTATTAACATAGTCATATAGTTATAAGTTTTGTCAGTTCCGGGATTTATAATTGCATTGTCAAAAGTATCAGTTACTGGGCCCTGCACAGTGGCCTAGTGGCTAAAGCCTTCTCTTCGAATGTGCCAGGATCCCATATGGGTGCCAGTTCTAATCCCAGCATCTCAACTTCTCATTCAGCTCCCTGGTTTGTGGCCTGGGAAAGCAGTCAAGGATGGCCCAAAGCCTGGATACCCTGCACCCACGTGGGAGACCTGGAGAAAGTTCCTGGCTCCTGGCTTCAGACAGGTGCAGCACTGGCCATTGTGCTCACTTGACGTGTGAGTCATCGGACGGAAGATTTTCCTCTCTGTCTCTCCTCCTCTCTGTATATCTGCATTTCCAATAAAAATAAATAAACATTTAAAAAGAAAAATAGAACTGCCATTTATGAAAACTGCAAGTGAAATCACTGCATTTTCCTTCATCTGAAAATTGGCTGGATTATCTAACTTCATCACACTATCAGCTTTCTTCCACAGCCTTGAGGAGAAAATTAGACAAGTGTTACCTTTAGATTATAAAGTGTTTTCCACTGGGTTTTTTGGTAACAATTTTCAGATCTTCTGAAAGGCTACTCTGAACACCAACCATAAGTATACAATAAAGGCTTTATTTTTATCAATACTATAAAGCAGAAAATAATCCAATAATCTATGCAATGTAGGCATCTGATGTTTGTAAAAGCATGTATACTTGTGGATCTGCATATGTTTGGCATACTAGCCACTGCTTAAAATTGTTGACAACATCAAATTATCTACAGTCCAGGCTGTAATGCTAGTTAATTTTAATCCAGTAAATATTTATCATGACGATCATAAACATAGGTGCTATGCTGGCATTTTTAAAATGTGTACAAAATTGGTCTCCAGCTTCAAGGAGCTTAGTGTTTAGCAAAGGGCAACAATTAGCAGTCATTAGTGTAGCAGTTGGTTTGGAATAGTGGTTAGAACCACAGACTCTGCAATCCGGCCTGGGGTGGAATCCTGACTCCCTTCATTTCTAACTGCATAAAGGGCAGAGAATGTAATGTGTGCTGTGATGGGAACACAGACTTTTGAATGTAGGTGTGGAAACGCGTATGTTAACTCCGCTATGTCTAGTTCACAGTAGTCATCCGATTTTAGGTCTCTACCATTGGAAAATAAAACAGCTACATAATAATGCACTATGTGTTACTACTTGGTAACATTTAAATAAATTACTTGTGGCTGCTCAGAGAAAGCTTCAAAGAAGTGGTTACCGAACCATTATCTTTTCAAGACTCCTAAAAATCACATCAAGGAAGAGAACACATTGAAAAGAAAAAGAAAAAAGAGCCATGGGCTGGGAATAATATCTCATGAAGTCAGTGTGGAAAATATCTGCAAACTGACTTCATTAGCTTCTTTCTGATTTTTGCTTTGGGGTAATTTGCACATAGCTAGAGCTTGTCATTGTAGCATGAATTATGTCTGCAGAATAAGTGACCTTCCAACTCAGTTCTGCTCAGCAAATTGCTAAGCCTCTCAGAGACTACTCCAGATTTTTGATCAAGGATTCTGATTGGCTTAGCATTAACCAGAGGTTTACAATGACTAAGTTAGATACTTGGTTCCTAATATTGTAACACAGGTAGGTACACCAAGTTTGCCGTTAATGTGAGCTGTGATAGTTTTACAAGGAATGGGTAGGGTGGCCACCACATTGTTATCACCAACACAAATTAGTTCACAAGGAGGAGTTCACAAGTTAGAGATGAGGAAAAAAACTGATACTGGCAAGAGGGGAACTTTAAAAATAAAAACCTTCCTTATCCTAAGAATAGAGATAATATTCCACTGTGGTTAGAGTGTGAATTGGCTGAAACACTTTTATGATGCTGATGACATGATTTATTGCCTAGGAAAGATAGGTTTTAAAAAAAAGTATTTTCAGTAAGAGGTAAGGATTAGGCAGCAGTAGCATTCAAGAAGGTCCACTTGAGACAAAATTTTGTGGGAAAAAAATGGAATTAAATAATTCCATAAATTTGGTGAAAAAGCCTTTATAATCCATGCATTATTTTGTTTCATTTTTTGTATTTTGAAGAAGTGCATGTGTTTCCATTTTAAATTTTGTTCACACCAAAATGAACCTTCTTTAACTCCCCTTTCATGAACTGTGTGAAGTTTCCTCACAGCTTGTTTAGAAACAGGACTATCTCCACAGACCTCAAGAATTTCTTTTTTTGCTGATGCTGTCATGAAATCAAGTGGCATTATTCCCACAAGAGTTGTCATTTCAGGTGGAGCTGAGTTAAAAGAAATCCTGACTGAGATAATTCTGCTTTTGACTGATGTGACTAATATACCGTTTTTACAAATTATGATTTTTCCTAAAAAAGTTACATATAATAACATGCTCTCTGAATCACATTAATTATAAAATTACTTTCCAAGGGTGGTGATAATCCTGCTATTGCAAGCTATGCTTTAAATCATATATTTAAAAGATGACTGGAGGCAAGAAGAATAATTCATGTAACATTTTGTAATGTTTTCCAACAACTTCCTCCTGGTGTGCAAAAAATTTTAAAAACTTAAAATCACTTTTAAAAAGAGCCCTACATATTAAGGTTTTC